TCCAACATGCAAAGATTAAATTCTGAAAAAATTGCAACAGCAAATAGTCTGTATTTAAAGCTGATATTAATTTATAGTTTTTGTTAAAGATACATCTAAATATGTTGCACTCCTAGACAGAGAAGATGGATTCATGGCAGATAGGAAGAGTCAACATGTAAGTATTTGGTCATTACAATTGTACTTAAAACTATGTTAATATTTGGAAGTCAATAAAAATCTGTTTTCACTGAAACAATAGCTTAAAATTTTATTACAGATTGGTCTAAAATATCTTTTATTCGAATTTCAAATGTGGTATATTTTAATAAGAATGAAAGAGTAATTGTAAATTAATTGTCCGTAATTTAAGATTTGACATAAAACATGAATCACATTAATTTTTTTATTTTTTTAACAGCCATTAAATATTCTCTATCTAAAGCTGATGCTAATTTAAATTTTTTCTTATGTAACAGATACAGCCCAGATATGTTCCACTCCTACCCAATGAATATGGTTTCATGGTAGATGTACATTAGGATGTTTAACATGTAGGTAGTCATTACAATTGTACTTTAGACTATGTTTATATGTGTTGGGTAATAAATATCAGTTTTACCTGGAACAACAGCTTAAATAAAATTTTATTTCAAATTAGTGTACATATTTCTTTTGTTCAAATTTATAATCTAGTGAAGTAAATTTTAACATGAATGCGTAGTAATTTTAAATATTCTTGTGTCCAATTTAGGATTTGACATAAAATATGAGTGACATTTATTTTATAATTGTTGCAACAGCCAATAGTCTCTATTTGAAGCTGATACTAATTGATGATTTGGTTTTGTTATAGATACAGCCATAATATGTTACACTCCTAGACAATGAAGATGGTTTCATGGTAGATTGATCACACATCTGGATACGTAGCATGTAGGTATTTGGTATTTTTAATTGTACTTTAAACTATGTTAAAATGGTTTGCAGGTAACAAAAATAAGTTTTCCCTGGAAGCTTAAATTAGATTTGATTACAAATTGATTACAAATTTCTTCAATTCAAATTTATACTCTTATGAAGATTATTTTAATGATAATGTATAGAAATTGTTTATATACTTGTCTTGAAATTAGGATTTTTCATCAAAAATGCATCATATTAATTTTGAATTAATTGCAACAACCAATATTCTCTATTTAAAGCTGATACTGATGAGTTTTTGTTTTTTGTTACAGATACAGACTAGATATGTTACCCTCCTAGACAATGAAGATGCTTTCTTGGTTTACAGCACACGAAGATTTGTATCATGTAGGTATTTGGTCATTATAATTGTACTTTTAACTCTTTTTATATGTGTTGGGTAACAAAAATCAGTTTTCCCGTTGAACAACAGTTTGAAATTTTATTACAAATTTGTCGAACATTTCTTTTATTCAAATATTTACTGTAATAAGTTAAGTAATTGTAAATATTCTAGTCTCCAATTTAGGATTTGACATTAAACATGCATCACATTAATTTCTGAATTGATTGCAACATCAAATATTCCCTATTTAAAGCTGATACTAATTTACAATTTTTGTTTTTGTTACAGATAACGCCTAAATATGTTACACTCTTCGACAATGAAAATGGTTTCATTGTAGATAGCACATTAGGATTAGTCACATGTACGTATTTATTCATTACAATTTTTTTATTTAAACTAGGTTTATTAGCTCACCTGCAAGTGAGCTTTTCTCATCACTTGGCGTCCGTCGTCGTCCGTTAACTTTTACAAAAATCTCCTCTGAAACTACTGGGCCAAATTTAACCAAACTTGGCCACAATCATCACTAGGGTATCTAGTTTTAAAAATGTGTCCGATGACCCCGCCTGCCAACCAAGATGGCTGACATGGCTAAAAATAGAACATAGGGGTAAAATGCAGTTTTTGGCTTATATCTCTGAAACTCAAGCATTTAGAGCAAATCTGACTAGAGTAAAAATGTTCATCAGGTTAAGATCTATCTGCCCTGAAATTGTCAGATGAATCAGACAACCCGTTGTTGGGTTGCTGCCCCTGAATTAGTAATTTTAAGGAAATTTTGCAGCTTTTTGTTATCTTGAATATTATTATAGATGAAGATAAACTGTAAACAGCCATTATGTTCAGCAAAGTCAGATCTACAAAGAAGTCAACATGACCAATATGGTCAATTGACCCCATAAGGAGTTATTGCCCTTTAAAGTCAAATTTAACAATTATTCGTAAATTTTTGTATTCTTTTACAAAAATCTTCTCTCCTGAAACAACTGAGACAAATTTAACCAAACTTGGCCACAATCATCACTAGGGTATCTAGTTTAATAAATGTGTCCGATGACCCTGCCTGCCAACCAACATGTCAGACATGGCTAAAAATAGAACTTTGGGGGAAAATGCAGTTTTTGACTTGTATCTCTGAAACTAAAGCAAATGTATAACGGTTGCATTATTTCATGCATCAATTGTAAATAAAAATATCAGGTGAGCGACACAGGCTCCTTGGAGCCTCTAGTATTTGTTGGGCATTAAAATCAGTTTTCACTGAAACAACAGATTGAAGCTTTATAACAAATTGGTCTAAAATTTCTTTTATTCCTATTTATATTCTTATGAAGTATATTTTAATAAGAATGTATAGTTATTGTAAATATACGTCTCCAATTTAGGATTTGACATAAAACATGCATCACATTAATTTCTGAATTGATTGCAACAGCAAAAAGCTTTGATTTTGAAGCTGAAACTAATTTAAAATATTTGTTTTTTTTGTACAGATATTGCCTAAATATGTAAGACTCCTATACCATGAAAGATGCTTCCATTGCAGATAGCACATTAGGATGTTGCACATGTAGGTATTTATTCATAACAATCGTTCTTAAAACTATGTTTATATTTGTTAGGTAATAAAAATCAGTTTTTCCTGGAACAACAGCTTGAAATTTGATTACAAATTGGTCCTACATTACATTTATTGAAATATTCACTGTAATGAGATATATTTTAATAAGAATGTATAGTGATTGTAAAAATTCTGTCTCCAATTAAGGATTTGACATTACAACATGCATCACATTAATTTCTGAATTGATTGCAACAGCAAATAGTCTGGATTAAAAGCTGAAATTAATGTTTATTTTTTTTTGTTTTCATTACAGATACAGCCTAAATATGTAAGACTCCTATACCATGAAAGATGCTTCCATTGCAGATGCACATTAGGATAAGTCACATGTACGTATTTGGTCATTACAATTTTCCTTCAAACTATATTTATATTTGTTAGGTAATAAAAATCAGTTTTTGCCTGAAACAACAGATTGAAGCTTTATAACAAATTGGTCTAAAATTTCTTTCATTCAAATTTATACTCTAATGCTGAATATTTTAATAAGAACGTATAGTAATTGTAATTATATACTTTTCTCTATTTTGGGATTTAACATAAAACATGCATCACATTATTTTCTGAATTGATTGCAACAGCAAAGAGTCTGGATTTAAAGCGTAAACTAATTAATAATTTTTGTTCTTGTTACAGATTATACAGCCTTAATATGTAACACTCCTATACCATGAAAGATGCTTTCACACATTAGGATGTTGCACATGTAGGTATTTGGTCATTACAATTGTTCTTAAAACTATGTTTATGTTTGTTAGGTAATAAAAATCCGTTTTTTCCTGAACAGTTTGACAAAACGATGCTTTATGTTAAAATGGGTCTCGTAAAAGCAGACCTCTGCAGAGAGCAAACTTTAGATTTTGATATAACATTGATGAATTTAATGGGCGCTAATCTCGTAAAAGCAGATCCCCCAGCAGAGCTGATTACATAGTATGATAACTTGTGTTTATGGTAAAATGTATTTAGTTTTTTTGTCTGGCTCTATTTCATTATCAACCAATTTGAAACTTTATTACAAATTGGTCTCAAAAAAATTTCTTCAAATTTATACTCTAATGAAATATATTCTTAATGACTGAGCTGAAGGACGCCTCCGGGTGCGGGAATTTCTCGCTACATTGAAGACCTGTTGGTGACCTTCTGCTGTTGTCTGTTCTATGGTCGGGTTGTTGTCTCTTTGACACATTCCCCATTTCCATTCTCAATTTTATTAATGGAATGTATAGTAATAATAAATATTCTTGTCCAACATGCAAAGATTAAATTCTGAAAAAATTGCAACAGCAAATAGTCTGTATTTAAAGCTGATATTAATTTATAGTTTTTGTTAAAGATACATCTAAATATGTTGCACTCCTAGACAGAGAAGATGGATTCATGGCAGATAGGAAGAGTCAACATGTAAGTATTTGGTCATTACAATTGTACTTAAAACTATGTTAATATTTGGAAGTCAATAAAAATCTGTTTTCACTGAAACAATAGCTTAAAATTTTATTACAGATTGGTCTAAAATATCTTTTATTCGAATTTCAAATGTGGTATATTTTAATAAGAATGAAAGAGTAATTGTAAATTAATTGTCCGTAATTTAAGATTTGACATAAAACATGAATCACATTAATTTTTTTATTCTTTTAACAGCCATTAAATATTCTCTATCTAAAGCTGATGCTAATTTAAATTTTTTCTTATGTAACAGATACAGCCCAGATATGTTCTACTCCTACCCAATGAATATGGTTTCATGGTAGATGCACATTAGGATGTTTAACATGTAGGTAGTCATTACAATTGTACTTTAGACTATGTTTATATGTGTTGGGTAATAAATATCAGTTTTACCTGGAACAACAGCTTAAATAAAATTTTATTTCAAATTAGTGTACATATTTCTTTTGTTCAAATTTATAATCTAGTGAAGTAAATTTTAACATGAATGCGTAGTAATTTTAAATATTCTTGTGTCCAATTTAGGATTTGACATAAAATATGAGTGACATTTATTTTATAATTGTTGCAACAGCCAATAGTCTCTATTTGAAGCTGATACTAATTGATGATTTGGTTTTGTTATAGATACAGCCATAATATGTTACACTCCTAGACAATGAAGATGGTTTCATGGTAGATTGATCACACATCTGGATACGTAGCATGTAGGTATTTGGTATTTTTAATTGTACTTTAAACTATGTTAAAATGGTTTGCAGGTAACAAAAATAAGTTTTCCCTGGAAGCTTAAATTAGATTTGATTACAAATTGATTACAAATTTCTTCAATTCAAATTTATACTCTTATGAAGATTATTTTAATGATAATGTATAGAAATTGTTTATATACTTGTCTTCAAATTAGGATTTTTCATCAAAAATGCATCATATTAATTTTGAATTAATTGCAACAACCAATATTCTCTATTTAAAGCTGATACTGATTTAGAGTTTTTGTTTTTTGTTACAGATACAGACTAGATATGTTACCCTCCTAGACAATGAAGATGCTTTCTTGGTTTACAGCACTCGAAGATTTGTATCATGTAGGTATTTGGTCATTATAATTGTACTTTTAACTCTTTTTATATGTGTTGGGTAACAAAAATCAGTTTTCCCGTTGAACAACAGTTTGAAATTTTATTACAAATTTGTCGAACATTTCTTTTATTCAAATATTTACTGTAATAAGTTAAGTAATTGTAAATATTCTAGTCTCCAATTTAGGATTTGACATTAAACATGCATCACATTAATTTCTGAATTGATTGCAACATCAAATATTCCCTATTTAAAGCTGATACTAATTTACAATTTTTGTTTTTGTTACAGATAACGCCTAAATATGTTACACTCTTCGACAATGAAAATGGTTTCATTGTAGATAGCACATTAGGATTAGTCACATGTACGTATTTATTCATTACAATTTTTTTATTTAAACTAGGTTTATTAGCTCACCTGGCCCACAGGGCCAAGTGAGCTTTTCTCATCACTTGGCGTCCGTCGTCGTCCGTTAACTTTTACAAAAATCTCCTCTGAAACTACTGGGCCAAATTTAACCAAACTTGGCCACAATCATCACTAGGGTATCTAGTTTTAAAAATGTGTCCGATGACCCCGCCTGCCAACCAAGATGGCTGACATGGCTAAAAATAGAACATAGGGGTAAAATGCAGTTTTTGGCTTATATCTCTGAAACTCAAGCATTTAGAGCAAATCTGACTAGAGTAAAAATGTTCATCAGGTTAAGATCTATCTGCCCTGAAATTGTCAGATGAATCAGACAACCCGTTGTTGGGTTGCTGCCCCTGAATTAGTAATTTTAAGGAAATTTTGCAGCTTTTTGTTATCTTGAATATTATTATAGATGAAGATAAACTGTAAACAGCCATTATGTTCAGCAAAGTCAGATCTACAAAGAAGTCAACATGACCAATATGGTCAATTGACCCCATAAGGAGTTATTGCCCTTTAAAGTCAAATTTAACAATTATTCGTAAATTTTTGTATTCTTTTACAAAACTCTTCTCTCCTGAAACAACTGAGACAAATTTAACCAAACTTGGCCACAATCATCACTAGGGTATCTAGTTTAATAAATGTGTCCGATGACCCTGCCTGCCAACCAACATGTCAGACATGGCTAAAAATAGAACTTTGGGGGAAAATGCAGTTTTTGACTTGTATCTCTGAAACTAAAGCAAATGTATAACGGTTGCATTATTTCATGCATCAATTGTAAATAAAAATATCAGGTGAGCGACACAGGCTCCTTGGAGCCTCTAGTATTTGTTGGGCATTAAAATCAGTTTTCACTGAAACAACAGATTGAAGCTTTATAACAAATTGGTCTAAAATTTCTTTTATTCCTATTTATATTCTTATGAAGTATATTTTAATAAGAATGTATAGTTATTGTAAATATACGTCTCCAATTTAGGATTTGACATAAAACATGCATCACATTAATTTCTGAATTGATTGCAACAGCAAAAAGCTTTGATTTTGAAGCTGAAACTAATTTAAAATATTTGTTTTTTTTGTACAGATATTGCCTAAATATGTAAGACTCCTATACCATGAAAGATGCTTCCATTGCAGATAGCACATTAGGATGTTGCACATGTAGGTATTTATTCATAACAATCGTTCTTAAAACTATGTTTATATTTGTTAGGTAATAAAAATCAGTTTTTCCTGGAACAACAGCTTGAAATTTGATTACAAATTGGTCCTACATTACATTTATTGAAATATTCACTGTAATGAGATATATTTTAATAAGAATGTATAGTGATTGTAATAATTCTTGTCTCCAATTAAGGATTTGACATTACAACATGCATCACATTAATTTCTGAATTGATTGCAACAGCAAATAGTCTGGATTAAAAGCTGAAATTAATGTTTATTTTTTTTTGTTTTCATTACAGATACAGCCTAAATATGTAAGACTCCTATACCATGAAAGATGCTTCCATTGCAGATGCACATTAGGATAAGTCACATGTACGTATTTGGTCATTACAATTTTCCTTCAAACTATATTTATATTTGTTAGGTAATAAAAATCAGTTTTTTCCTGAAACAAAAGATTGAAGCTTTATAACAAATTGGTCTAAAATTTCTTTCATTCAAATTTATACTCTAATGCTGAATATTTTAATAAGAACGTATAGTAATTGTAATTATATACTTTTCTCTATTTTGGGATTTAACATAAAACATGCATCACATTATTTTCTGAATTGATTGCAAAAGCAAAGAGTCTGGATTTAAAGCGTAAACTAATTAATAATTTTTGTTTTTGTTACAGATTATACAGCCTTAATATGTAACACTCCTATACCATGAAAGATGCTTTCACACATTAGGATGTTGCACATGTAGGTATTTGGTCATTACAATTGTTCTTAAAACTATGTTTATGTTTGTTAGGTAATAAAAATCCGTTTTTTCCTGAACAGTTTGACAAAACGATGCTTTATGTTAAAATGGGTCTCGTAAAAGCAGACCTCTGCAGAGAGCAAACTTTAGATTTTGATATAACATTGATGAATTTAATGGGCGCTAATCTCGTAAAAGCAGATCCCCCAGCAGAGCTGATTACATAGTATGATAACTTGTGTTTATGGTAAAATGTATTTAGTTTTTTTGTCTGGCTCTATTTCATTATCAACCAATTTGAAACTTTATTACAAATTGGTCTCAAAAAAATTTCTTCAAATTTATACTCTAATGAAATATATTCTTAATGACTGAGCTGAAGGACGCCTCCGGGTGCGGGAATTTCTCGCTACATTGAAGACCTGTTGGTGACCTTCTGCTGTTGTCTGTTCTATGGTCGGGTTGTTGTCTCTTTGACACATTCCCCATTTCCATTCTCAATTTTATTAATGGAATGTATAGTAATTATAAATATTCTTGTCCAACATGCAAAGATTAAATTCTGAAAAAATTGCAACAGCAAATAGTCTGTATTTAAAGCTGATATTAATTTATAGTTTTTGTTAAAGATACATCTAAATATGTTGCACTCCTAGACAGAGAAGATGGATTCATGGCAGATAGGAAGAGTCAACATGTAAGTATTTGGTCATTACAATTGTACTTAAAACTATGTTAATATTTGGAAGTCAATAAAAATCTGTTTTCACTGAAACAATAGCTTAAAATTTTTTTACAGATTGGTCTAAAATATCTTTTATTCGAATTTCAAATGTGGTATATTTTAATAAGAATGAAAGAGTAATTGTAAATTAATTGTCCGTAATTTAAGATTTGACATAAAACATGAATCACATTAATTTTTTTATTTTTTTAACAGCCATTAAATATTCTCTATCTAAAGCTGATGCTAATTTAAATTTTTTCTTATGTAACAGATACAGCCCAGATATGTTCCACTCCTACCCAATGAATATGGTTTCATGGTAGATGCACATTAGGATGTTTAACATGTAGGTAGTCATTACAATTGTACTTTAGACTATGTTTATATGTGTTGGGTAATAAATATCAGTTTTACCTGGAACAACAGCTTAAATAAAATTTTATTTCAAATTAGTGTACATATTTCTTTTGTTCAAATTTATAATCTAGTGAAGTAAATTTTAACATGAATGCGTAGTAATTTTAAATATTCTTGTGTCCAATTTAGGATTTGACATAAAATATGAGTGACATTTATTTTATAATTGTTGCAACAGCCAATAGTCTCTGTTTGAAGCTGATACTAATTGATGATTTGGTTTTGTTATAGATACAGCCATAATATGTTACACTCCTAGACAATGAAGATGGTTTCATGGTAGATTGATCACACATCTGGATACGTAGCATGTAGGTATTTGGTATTTTTAATTGTACTTTAAACTATGTTAAAATGGTTTGCAGGTAACAAAAATAAGTTTTCCCTGGAAGCTTAAATTAGATTTGATTACAAATTGATTACAAATTTCTTCAATTCAAATTTATACTCTTATGAAGATTATTTTAATGATAATGTATAGAAATTGTTTATATACTTGTCTTCAAATTAGGATTTTTCATCAAAAATGCATCATATTAATTTTGAATTAATTGCAACAACCAATATTCTCTATTTAAAGCTGATACTGATTTAGAGTTTTTGTTTTTTGTTACAGATACAGACTAGATATGTTACCCTCCTAGACAATGAAGATGCTTTCTTGGTTTACAGCACACGAAGATTTGTATCATGTAGGTATTTGGTCATTATAATTGTACTTTTAACTCTTTTTATATGTGTTGGGTAACAAAAATCAGTTTTCCCGTTGAACAACAGTTTGAAATTTTATTACAAATTTGTCGAACATTTCTTTTATTCAAATATTTACTGTAATAAGTTAAGTAATTGTAAATATTCTAGTCTCCAATTTAGGATTTGACATTAAACATGCATCACATTAATTTCTGAATTGATTGCAACATCAAATATTCCCTATTTAAAGCTGATACTAATTTACAATTTTTGTTTTTGTTACAGATAACGCCTAAATATGTTACACTCTTCGACAATGAAAATGGTTTCATTGTAGATAGCACATTAGGATTAGTCACATGTACGTATTTATTCATTACAATTTTTTTATTTAAACTAGGTTTATTAGCTCACCTGCAAGTGAGCTTTTCTCATCACTTGGCTCCGTCGTCGTCCGTTAACTTTTACAAAAATCTCCTCTGAAACTACTGGGCCAAATTTAACCAAACTTGGCCACAATCATCACTAGGGTATCTAGTTTTAAAAATGTGTCCGATGACCCCGCCTGCCAACCAAGATGGCTGACATGGCTAAAAATAGAACATAGGGGTAAAATGCAGTTTTTGGCTTATATCTCTGAAACTCAAGCATTTAGAGCAAATCTGACTAGAGTAAAAATGTTCATCAGGTTAAGATCTATCTGCCCTGAAATTGTCAGATGAATCAGACAACCCGTTGTTGGGTTGCTGCCCCTGAATTAGTAATTTTAAGGAAATTTTGCAGCTTTTTGTTATCTTGAATATTATTATAGATGAAGATAAACTGTAAACAGCCATTATGTTCAGCAAAGTCAGATCTACAAAGAAGTCAACATGACCAATATGGTCAATTGACCCCATAAGGAGTTATTGCCCTTTAAAGTCAAATTTAACAATTATTCGTAAATTTTTGTATTCTTTTACAAAACTCTTCTCTCCTGAAACAACTGAGACAAATTTAACCAAACTTGGCCACAATCATCACTAGGGTATCTAGTTTAATAAATGTGTCCGATGACCCTGCCTGCCAACCAACATGTCAGACATGGCTAAAAATAGAACTTTGGGGGAAAATGCAGTTTTTGACTTGTATCTCTGAAACTAAAGCAAATGTATAACGGTTGCATTATTTCATGCATCAATTGTAAATAAAAATATCAGGTGAGCGACACAGGCTCCTTGGAGCCTCTAGTATTTGTTGGGCATTAAAATCAGTTTTCACTGAAACAACAGATTGAAGCTTTATAACAAATTGGTCTAAAATTTCTTTTATTCCTATTTATATTCTTATGAAGTATATTTTAAAAAGCTTTGATTTTGAAGCTGAAACTAATTTAAAATATTTGTTTTTTTTGTACAGATATTGCCTAAATATGTAAGACTCCTATACCATGAAAGATGCTTCCATTGCAGATAGCACATTAGGATGTTGCACATGTAGGTATTTATTCATAACAATCGTTCTTAAAACTATGTTTATATTTGTTAGGTAATAAAAATCAGTTTTTCCTGGAACAACAGCTTGAAATTTGATTACAAATTGGTCCTACATTACATTTATTGAAATATTCACTGTAATGAGATATATTTTAATAAGAATGTATAGTGATTGTAATAATTCTTGTCTCCAATTAAGGATTTGACATTACAACATGCATCACATTAATTTCTGAATTGATTGCAACAGCAAATAGTCTGGATTAAAAGCTGAAATTAATGTTTATTTTTTTTGTTTTCATTACAGATACAGCCTAAATATGTAAGACTCCTATACCATGAAAGATGCTTCCATTGCAGATGCACATTAGGATAAGTCACATGTACGTATTTGGTCATTACAATTTTCCTTCAAACTATATTTATATTTGTTAGGTAATAAAAATCAGTTTTTTCCTGAAACAAAAGATTGAAGCTTTATAACAAATTGGTCTAAAATTTCTTTCATTCAAATTTATACTCTAATGCTGAATATTTTAATAAGAACGTATAGTAATTGTAATTATATACTTTTCTCTATTTTGGGATTTAACATAAAACATGCATCACATTATTTTCTGAATTGATTGCAAAAGCAAAGAGTCTGGATTTAAAGCGTAAACTAATTAATAATTTTTGTTTTTGTTACAGATTATACAGCCTTAATATGTAACACTCCTATACCATGAAAGATGCTTTCACACATTAGGATGTTGCACATGTAGGTATTTGGTCATTACAATTGTTCTTAAAACTATGTTTATGTTTGTTAGGTAATAAAAATCCGTTTTTTCCTGAACAGTTTGACAAAACGATGCTTTATGTTAAAATGGGTCTCGTAAAAGCAGACCTCTGCAGAGAGCAAACTTTAGATTTTGATATAACATTGATGAATTTAATGGGCGCTAATCTCGTAAAAGCAGATCCCCCAGCAGAGCTGATTACATAGTATGATAACTTGTGTTTATGGTAAAATGTATTTAGTTTTTTTGTCTGGCTCTATTTCATTATCAACCAATTTGAAACTTTATTACAAATTGGTCTCAAAAAAATTTCTTCAAATTTATACTCTAATGAAATATATTCTTAATGACTGAGCTGAAGGACGCCTCCGGGTGCGGGAATTTCTCGCTACATTGAAGACCTGTTGGTGACCACCTGCTGTTGTCTGTTCTATGGTCGGGTTGTTGTCTCTTTGACACATTCCCCATTTCCATTCTCAATTTTATTAATGGAATGTATAGTAATTATAAATATTCTTGTCCAACATGCAAAGATTAAATTCTGAAAAAATTGCAACAGCAAATAGTCTGTATTTAAAGCTGATATTAATTTATAGTTTTTGTTAAAGATACATCTAAATATGTTGCACTCCTAGACAGAGAAGATGGATTCATGGCAGATAGGAAGAGTCAACATGTAAGTATTTGGTCATTACAATTGTACTTAAAACTATGTTAATATTTGGAAGTCAATAAAAATCTGTTTTCACTGAAACAATAGCTTAAAATTTTTTTACAGATTGGTCTAAAATATCTTTTATTCGAATTTCAAATGTGGTATATTTTAATAAGAATGAAAGAGTAATTGTAAATTAATTGTCCGTAATTTAAGATTTGACATAAAACATGAATCACATTAATTTTTTTATTTTTTTAACAGCCATTAAATATTCTCTATCTAAAGCTGATGCTAATTTAAATTTTTTCTTATGTAACAGATACAGCCCAGATATGTTCCACTCCTACCCAATGAATATGGTTTCATGGTAGATGCACATTAGGATGTTTAACATGTAGGTAGTCATTACAATTGTACTTTAGACTATGTTTATATGTGTTGGGTAATAAATATCAGTTTTACCTGGAACAACAGCTTAAATAAAATTTTATTTCAAATTAGTGTACATATTTCTTTTGTTCAAATTTATAATCTAGTGAAGTAAATTTTAACATGAATGCGTAGTAATTTTAAATATTCTTGTGTCCAATTTAGGATTTGACATAAAATATGAGTGACATTTATTTTATAATTGTTGCAACAGCCAATAGTCTCTGTTTGAAGCTGATACTAATTGATGATTTGGTTTTGTTATAGATACAGCCATAATATGTTACACTCCTAGACAATGAAGATGGTTTCATGGTAGATTGATCACACATCTGGATACGTAGCATGTAGGTATTTGGTATTTTTAATTGTACTTTAAACTATGTTAAAATGGTTTGCAGGTAACAAAAATAAGTTCTCCCTGGAAGCTTAAATTAGATTTGATTACAAATTGATTACAAATTTCTTCAATTCAAATTTATACTCTTATGAAGATTATTTTAATGATAATGTATAGAAATTGTTTATATACTTGTCTTCAAATTAGGATTTTTCATCAAAAATGCATCATATTAATTTTGAATTAATTGCAACAACCAATATTCTCTATTTAAAGCTGATACTGATTTAGAGTTTTTGTTTTTTGTTACAGATACAGACTAGATATGTTACCCTCCTAGACAATGAAGATGCTTTCTTGGTTTACAGCACACGAAGATTTGTATCATGTAGGTATTTGGTCATTATAATTGTACTTTTAACTCTTTTTATATGTGTTGGGTAACAAAAATCAGTTTTCCCGTTGAACAACAGTTTGAAATTTTATTACAAATTTGTCGAACATTTCTTTTATTCAAATATTTACTGTAATAAGTTAAGTAATTGTAAATATTCTAGTCTCCAATTTAGGATTTGACATTAAACATGCATCACATTAATTTCTGAATTGATTGCAACATCAAATATTCCCTATTTAAAGCTGATACTAATTTACAATTTTTGTTTTTGTTACAGATAACGCCTAAATATGTTACACTCTTCGACAATGAAAATGGTTTCATTGTAGATAGCACATTAGGATTAGTCACATGTACGTATTTATTCATTACAATTTTTTTATTTAAACTAGGTTTATTAGCTCACCTGCAAGTGAGCTTTTCTCATCACTTGGCGTCCGTCGTCGTCCGTTAACTTTTACAAAAATCTCCTCTGAAACTACTGGGCCAAATTTAACCAAACTTGGCCACAATCATCACTAGGGTATCTAGTTTTAAAAATGTGTCCGATGACCCTGCCTGCCAACCAAGATGGCTGACATGGCTAAAAATAGAACATAGGGGTAAAATGCAGTTTTTGGCTTATATCTCTGAAACTCAAGCATTTAGAGCAAATCTGACTAGAGTAAAAATGTTCATCAGGTTAAGATCTATCTGCCCTGAAATTGTCAGATGAATCAGACAACCCGTTGTTGGGTTGCTGCCCCTGAATTAGTAATTTTAAGGAAATTTTGCAGCTTTTTGTTATCTTGAATATTATTATAGATGAAGATAAACTGTAAACAGCCATTATGTTCAGCAAAGTCAGATCTACAAAGAAGTCAACATGACCAATATGGTCAATTGACCCCATAAGGAGTTATTGCCCTTTAAAGTCAA